TGGTCAAGTTTTATAGAATTTCATTCCGTTTGGATCTTTCTGATGTTTCTCACATTATTGGACTGAGGTTAGAGGTTTTCGAGAGGAAGCCCGTAGAGTCAAGGTGCCATTTTGATCACATCATGTCAAGGTAGTTGCTGTAAACGTGTGTTATCCCAGTTGATGCTGATGTTGGTCACCTGGCTGAGGTCCTGTTTGTCAGGTTTCTCCACTGTGCGGTTATTCCCGTCCCCCTTCTACACTTGTCCTTTGGGAGGATGTCACTATGAGCAGCCCACACTTAAGAAGAGGAGTTTTGCTCCCCCTTCTTGAGGGAGGCGGCATTTAGCTTTGCAAATCTCATCCTGCCTTTTCATTCGAAGGGAACTTCTCTCCAGCTTCCTTTCCTGTCTTTCAGATATTTTTAAGAACACACACACACATAGCCCTGGCCAGTTTGGCTCAGCGGTTAGAGCATCAGCCCGTGGTCCAGAGAGACCCGGGTTCGGTTCCCGCTAAGGGCATGAACCTCGGTTGCAGTTTGTCTCCAGCCCTGGTTGGGTCATGCGGGTGGTGGCCACTCGGTGTGTCCCTTTCACATCAATGTTTCTCTCTCTTCCTCTCTCTCCCTCCCACTCTATCTGAACAAAAAATGGAAAAATGTCCTCCGGTGAGGATTAAAAAAAAAGAATACACACACAGACCTGTCAACTCTGGAACCTGACTTTAAAGGCACCTTTTATGAGGCTTACCATTGCTAAGTGCACCTCAAAATACTACATGGTGAGATTTTATTTTATTTTATTTTTATTTTTTATTTTTTATTTTTTATTTTTTTTTTAATCCTCACCCGAGGATACTTTTCCATTTTTTTTTGTACAGATAGAGTGGGAGGGAGAGAGAGAGAGAAACATCGACGTGAAGGGACACATCGAGTGGCTGCCACCCGCACGACCAACCAGGGCCGGGGACAAACTGCAACCGAGGTACATGCCCTTAGCGGGAACCGAACCCGGGTCTCTCCGGACCGCAGGCCGACGCTCTAACCGCTGAGCCAAACTGGCCAGGGCTACATGGTGAGATTTTAAAATGCAGGCAATGACTTCCCTCCAGGGAGACACTGGTTTACTGCTGCCTTAGGCACGGAGGTTCCTTCAAGCCAGCCTGGAAGGACATCTTGTCCAGGGGCCCACCTGGCAAGCCCTCACCCCTTGTCCGCCCTGCTGGTGCCATGCATGAGGCTGGCCTAACTTAAAAGTCAGGAATAAGTGAAAACCCCCCCAAGAAGAGCAATTGGAAAGAAAATACTTGAAAAGAATAATGATGTTTCATTATATTATGCAGAAGGATAATGTTCTGCTTTGTTACATTAACAGCACTCACTTCTATAAACCAAGAGTATCACAATAAAGGCACACAACGTGATCACAGACTGCATCACTACGAAAAAGTAAGGTAAAAAATTTCACATCAAGACTAGGAAAGAAGACTATTAATTAAAAACATAATGAAGTGCTTGCTTCAGTAGCACATATACTAAAACTGGAACAATACAGAGAAGATTAGCATGGCCCCTGTGCAGGATGACACGCAAATTCGTGAAGCGTTCCATATTTTTAACAGAAAGGGATCCCACTATATGGGAGACCATAATCGCCAATGATGCATCAGATAAGGGGTTAATTTCCAAAATATATAGAGTGCTCATACAACTCAACAAAAGGAAGACAAAGAATCCAATTAAAAAATGGGCAGAGGACCTAAATAGACACCTCTCCAAACAGGACATACAAATGGCCAAGAGACATATGAAGAAATGCTCAACATTACTAATCATCAGAGAGATGCAAATGAAAACAACAATGAGTTATCACCTCACACCTTTCAGAATGGCCGCCATCAACAAATCATCAAACAAGTGCTGGCGAGGGTGTGGAGAAAAGGGGATTCTAGTATATCTGCTTTTGCCCTTGCCCTTTTGCTATTGGTGTTTTTGCTTACTTAAAAAATAAACAGTTCTAAAAGCAAAAAAAAAAAAAAAAGAAAAGGGGTTTCTAGTACACTGCTGGTGGGAATGTAGACTGGTGCAGTCACTATGGAAAACACTATCGTGTTACCTCAAAAAATTAAAAATTGAACTGCCATTTGACCCAGTGATTCCACTTCTAGGAATATACCCTAAGAAACCTGAAACACCAATCAGAAAGAATATATGTACCCCTATGTTCACAGCAGCATTATTTACAATAACTAAGATCTGGAAACAACCCAAATGTCCATCAATAGATGAGTGGATTAAAAAGCTGTGGTACATGTACACAATGGAATACTATGCAGCTGTAAGAAAGAAAGATCTCTTATCCTTCAAGATGGCATGGAAGGACCTGGAGAGTATTATGCTAAGCGAAACAAGCCAAGCAGAGAAAGACAAATATCACATGATCTCACTTATTTGTGGAATACAATGAACTAAACAAACTGCTGAACAAAATTAACCCAGAGACATAGAGGCGGGGTACAGACTGACAAGCCTCAGAGGAGGGGGGGTTTGTGGGGGAAGAGATAAACCACAGAACTTATATGCATGTATGCATGACCAGTGAACATAGACAACAAAGCTGGGGATAGGGCGTGGGGGAAGGGGAGGAGGGTGTCAATGGGGGTAAAATGAGAAACATCTGTAACAAAAACAAATTAATAAATAAACAATTTAAAAAAAAACAAAAGACAAAAAACAACAACAAAAAAAACCATAATGAAACTCCAACAAGAATAATTGTGATATGAGTGAAAAACTTGGCATAATAAATTTTTATAATTTAATAAAACAATTATTGCACTCTGGTCCGATAAGACCCACCCTCCTGCTTTGGTTCCCTCCAGGGTCCGTGTCCTGCTGCCCTCTGGGGCCTCTCCACAGGGTAAGGAAAAGCAAGGAAGTAACAAACAAACTGTTTTTCTCTTTCACGCTGTTTTCCTCCATATTGCCTGGACTTTGAAGTTCAATGTCATGTAAACATTAACTAGCTTCTTAAAGCCACAAAGAGCAAACTGTGACCTGAACATATGATTTATCCAAATATTTTCCTATGAGCTATAAGGATTCTAATTTTCTCTCTATCAGTATGTCTCTATCTCATAGAATTAGTTTTAAAATAGTCTTGACTTATCACCATTATTATTATTGTTACCGCTATTGAATTATTTTCCAAAGAATGCCTATCAGAGATGATTTCAGGTGGAAATATCTACTAAGTTGCTTTTCAAATATATTTATGATAAAAAAATTGATTTAAAGAAAAATACACGTTAAATCGCAGTACAAATGGTCAAAGGTAGGGCAAAACGACCATTGCCTGAAGCCTGGAATCCACCGAACTCTTGCATTAATCAGTTTCACAGGCACAAATTTACTACACACATAAAGCCTGAATCATCTTGTTATAACTTTAGGAACAACTCACAGCAGCTAAGATGGTACATACATGTATATTTTTTGTCAGTCACCAGTCATCATCTACTTACATGAGCAACTGTTTTCCTTTACAAGACAATTGTCCTGATCACTAGAGTCGAAATGACTCAGGCAAACCCTTGAAAACAAATCACATGCCTCAACACAATTTTTGCAAGATGGGTATCAAAAAGGAAAGTTTCTCTGAATTTTCTTTAGATTTCCTTTCAGGTTATATTTTATTTGCCCCAAATTAAAATAACATAAGATTATAGTGACTTTTCCTAACACTAGGTATGTTGCTGAGCTCCTGAAGAAACCATCCCTTAGTTTTGAGATCTTGATTTTATAAAAATGATCTGCCCGGCCGGTGTGGCTCAGTGGTTGAGTGTTGACCCATGCACCAAGAGGTGGCTGAGGTTCGATTCCCGGTCAGGACACATTGCCCAGGTTGTGGACCCAATCCCCAGAGGGGGGCATGCAGGAGGTGGCCAATTGATGTTCTCTCTCATCGATGTTTCTATCTCTCTCTCCGTCTCCCTTTCTCTCTCTCTCAAATCAATAAAGAAAAAATTAAAAAAAAAAAAAGATCTGTCTTATTCATTCCATCATGGTGGTGTGTTCTTTTCGCGATGTACATGTCATTTAGAGTTGGCTTGCTGGACCTGAACTGGGTAGTCGTATGATATCAAATAACCGAAAGACTAATACTGAGAAAATGCTAATTTCCTTAAATTTGTTTTCTGCACTGAGATGTTTTTCCTTGACACATAATTACATACTTTTGAGCATTTGCTGAATTACTGTGTGGTTAATTCATCTTAACTGCAGGAAGCCTAGATATTTATAAATTTCTTTGATGCATCATTTCTGATTAGTTGACCTTTCCTAAATACCAAACCGACCAATTGCCATCAATTCTATCACCTCCCTGATCACCTTGCATTTTTCCATAAATAAAGTTCTTGACTGTTTTAATTTCCTTTTGAGAATTGGGCATAGACAGAACAAATGACCATCACATTATAGAGTTTTTAATTTATTTTAAAATACAACCACTGCTGTTTATCTTTATGCTTAAGTTCTGAAGAGTACACTTGTTGTTATTCTGGTTGTCTACTATTCTTTTATCTTTATAAATACATCCTTCATTTTACAAAGTGACTTAATTTGTTTTATTATTCTAGGTGGCAGTGATAATGTACCTAAAAAAATTAACTTTGAAAACACAACTGTTATATTATTTATGAATAATACATTCACATCCTTTCTATTCATTCCTGTTCTCTGATCTCTTCCTCCCCCCTCTCTCTCTCTTTCCCTCTTACCTTGCTTTCCTTCCTTCATCAAACATTTATTGAGATTCTACATGTCAGGCACTATGATAGATATAGGGAATCGATGATGGATAAACTTTCTGTCCCCCATGAAGCTATTCTATTGACTTAGAATCTTTTCTTCCTGTTTATTCCAAAGGTCATTTGGAGAAAACACACTAATGAAAGTCATGGGGAAAAAAGCAAACATGGGCAGGTTTCACTGAGTTGGATAAAAATATGTCACCAACCTTTAGCTGTTGCAGAGTAATCTTTCTTCTGTTGGGGCTCTGGCTATATCAACAATTCTTCTTTTTTCCAAGAACTGGCACTGGGGAGGGCATTCTTCCTCCTCTAGCATAAATAACCTTGAGTGGGAATATCTGGATGGACACCAGTTTGATGAAACCCGGAGCAGCAGGAGAGCCTTCCTAGAAAATGTAGGTGCCCACACTCGTTTGGTGTGGCTGCCTGAGGCCTCTCATAGAGAGCTCCTGTAGAAAACCACAAATGCACAGGAAATTGGGGAAAATCAGATAAAGGCAAACGATTAAATGACACATGTACAGAAAGGAAACAGTTAAGAATTAACTCAAATTCATTTAAGGCTATAAGAGCAAGTGGTGCAACGGTTTAGTTAATAAATAGCTAGTCTCCAAAGCTAGAGCATTTGAACCAAATGACTAAGGGCTTTCAGAGCTATCAGGGGGCAGGTGGACAGAGAAAGGAAACCATCATAGAGAGAATCACAAATTGCTGTGAGAAGTAGGAGCAGGCACTGTAAACTGGACCAATATAGAGCCGGACACACATCCCTCTCTGCATACCCATGCATACATCGGTTGATGGTTTCAGCAAATACTTGTTGGGTTCCTCTGTTTTAGATGATGGTGTTGAGGATACAGCAGTGAGAATGCCCTCAAGGATCTTAAAATTCAGCAATATGTAGACGGCAAATGAGTAATCAGCTGGAATTTAGGTAGGAATTCTACAAGGAAAATGGCAATGTTCAAACATGTGTCTACTGAGTTCAGCTGGTTTCTTTGAATACCAGGGCCCAAAAAACCTTCCAGTGGAAAAAGCTGTCACTTACCCCCTCATCCTTTCCCTTGTCTGAGGCTGTCTCCCTCTTTTTTTATTCTTTCAGCTTAGCAAGACCCTGTCACATCTTTAGGCTCAGGTCCATCTATACTCAGGTCTCTAGTCCTGCCCTAACAGGGAACATGAAACACTTGGCTCTTCTGTACTTGGCCAAGAATCAACTTCTTGAATTTCTAATTTCTTCACTCTTTTTACTTCTACAAATCAAGTTCAAGTTCCTGGACATACCAGACTCAATATTTATCCAATATCCTCTGTTTAACTGATACCCATCAATCTACATGATCCCACTCAAATCCCTAACCCAGCGCTGAAGAACTGGAGTGTGGAGTGTCATATCTGGGCAGAGTGTCTAGGGAATGTAGTCGGGGACAGAGGTGAGCAAACCCAAATGTAAGATGGGTTAAACATCTGGAGACCAGGTCAGCAGGTGCAGTCCATAGGGATCATAGTTTGCAGAGATATGTTGCTTCTAGAAGACATTCCCAGAAATAATTCATCCTAGTTGCAGTTTGGAGACAGTTTAGTGGTAGGAGTAAGGGGTCTCTTTGTAAATAAAATTAGGAAAAAGTCCACTTATAAATTCAAACAAAACAAAGGATATAGGATGGGCAACTACTTGTGGAAGCATGACCATCACAGAAGAGATGGTGAAGGAGAAGCTGAGGAGAGTTTTATCATTGTGTCTCCAATACTATGCAGGTGGAGAGATGACGGGTCTTCTGCTCCATTTGGAAGGCAAATTCCTGTACAAGAGACATGTGATACCATCATTTTATTCATTTATTCATTCTCCTAACTTTTGTCTTATTTTTGAGCACATCCTGTGGTCCAGATACCACTGAAGGTAAGTCAATAGACAAGATAATCTCTTCCCTCTTGGAGCTCACAGTCTAATGAGAAAGGCTGGCTTATAAACTACTCTAATTAAAATTAGGGTTTCTGATACAAGCTTTCTCAGGAACTCAGAAGGTGGGCAGCCCTATACTTCCCAGGAAGGTCAAGAACATATTCCCAAGGAAGAGACCTTTCTGTAGAGTTCCAAAGAACAAGGGTTTTTCCATAGTGGCTTTTTATTTTATTTTTGTCTCCCCTTAGTTCTTCTTAATGGGAAGGGATTGTTTAAAATGAGTCTACCACAGCCCTGGCCAGTTTGGCTCAGCGGTTAGAGCGTCGGCCTGCGGTCCAGAGAGACCTGGATTCGGTTCCTGCTAAGGGCATGTACCTCGGTTGCAGTTTGTCCCCGGCCCTGGTCGTTTGTGCGGGTGGCAGCCACTCGATGTGTCCCTTTCACATCGATGTTTCTCTCTCTCTCTCTGTTCCTCTCTCTCCCTCCCATTCTACCTGAACAAAAAATGGAAAAATGTCCTCGGGTGAGGATAAAAAAAAAAAAAAAAAAATGAGTCTACCACAAATAGTACGTTTCTCTTGGCAAATATAGCTATCATTGTTACACTAAAATTCCAGCTCATTTTTAGAACTAGTATGGAAATCATTCACTTGGGCCAGAACTGAAAAGAGGTTTTTGAATCTACAAAGGCAGGGACTAAATCCTTAAGCAGAGTTAGAAAACATAGTAACTGAGAGACCCGGCCTGACTGGCCAGACATCCTTATTTCTCTTATCAGCTTTGATTGGTAACTGGCTCAACGTAGGAACTTGTAGGGCAGTATGAGAGCAAGCTCTACCCTTCCTGAACGAAAAGTGGAAATGTGTATGGGGGTGCAGCAGGGCCTTCCTCCACACTTCCAAATAGTTCTCAGTCATATTGAGAAGACTGGAATCAATTTTTATTTTCTCAGGTCCCTAATACCTGAAGGCCCTGTATTAGTTTGCTAGGGCTGGCATAACAAAATACCACAGACTGACTGGGTGGTTTAAACAACAGACATTATTTTTCTCAAGTTCTTGAGGCTGGAAGTCTAAGATGAAGGTATCAGCAAGGTCAGTGTCCTCTGAGGCCTCTCTCCTTGGCTTGCAGATAGCTGGCCTCTTACTGTGCCCTCATGTGACCTTTTCTCTGTGGGTACACATCCCTAAATGTATCATTTGTATGCCCCAATTTCCTCTTCTTATAAAGACACCAGTGAGATGGAATTGGGCCCAACTCTTAACTTAATCATCTTTTTAAAGGCCCTATCTCAAAATACAGTCACATTCTAAAGTACTGGGTGTTAGTGTTTCAACATGTGGATTTGGGAGTACATAATTCAGTCCGTAACAGCCCTTCCCTGCAGATTCTTGCTATCTGGCTGCCCTGTGATTCACTGTGTGGAAAGCAGCAAGAAGCACAGAGAAAGCCAGTGACCAGAGGGCTCTCTACTTCCTAAAAGAATGCCTACCTCAAACCAAGAGAGAAGTGGAAGAGTCTTAGGATCTGTGCCCCCTCATGCATACCTGCACTCCACTGCAGAGAGAACCTCCTTTCATGGCCTTCCAGGATCCCCAGCATTTTCCTGACAGTTTCTACTAGAGACAGCTGAAACACTTCCATATTTTACACTTTAGGATTATATGGGAAAGATACAAACCAATGACCATGAGAGGACTCAGACTAAGGAGTCTTCAAAGATCTCAGGTTGCTTTTATAAGCAAACTACACTATAAAAACAGAGCCAAAAGGAGAGGAAGTAAAAGAACTCTGCAAGGCACAGTTAGCAGCATGATGAAAGTTACTGTTTCCTGTTTGCTAACAAAACTCATTCTTCCTCAGGGGCCTTGCTCAGTGTTAACAGGTCCTGTTTGCCAGTGGCTCTGGGTCAACTCACTGAAAGCCAGTTGTTTCCATTTTACCTGGTAGTCTGGGCTAATCCCACCCCTCCTCTTCCTGTCCTTCTCAAATTTCTTCATTGTTTCTAATCCCTCTTAATCTCCCACTGCATTTGTTTTCACTCCCCTCAATCCTCTCAAGTACCTCCAGGTTCCTCTAAGCCTTTGACCCTTTCCCCCTTTCTTTATTAATCCTAGTCCTAAATCACTCCCAGCCCCACGGGTCCCACCCTTTACACCCCAGTCCTTTAGCCCCTCCCATTATTCCCATTTTCCCAGCCCCTCCCACTAGTCCTCCCTCTCCCTCTGTCTCTAAGGGAACACAGGTATTTTAGCAGTGATAAGTACAGCTCAATTGTCTATCAAAAATGCTGTATCAATTTACACTCACATCAACATTGAATTATATGAAAGGGCTTGATTTCAGAAACACCTTCACCAATACTATGCTATTCTTTTTAACTAGCTGATGATATTTTGTGAAAATAAACATTTTACTACTGTTCTATCTAGTATTTTTCTTGATTACTAGTAATGTTAAAAATCTTGTCATATATGTTTTATAGTTAACTGTATTTCTAATTCTGTGAATTGCCTGTTCATATTTTTGTCCATTTTTCAATTGGGTTGCCTTTTTTTAATTGATTTATATATCTCACAAATATTTTTTCTCCTTGATGTCTCTCGTATTCTAACTAACTGGGCCGACAGAATGAATATTCCTTAAAATGATATTAAGTAAATATAATGGAATACTGGCTAACTAAAATGTTCAACAGTTGTTAAAAAAGATTCCATGCAGTATGACTTGCTGTAAATTTTATAAGTAGCTAAAAGAAGCAAGTAAATACGGTGCATTGATCAGTGAACTGGATTTCAGTAAACGGGTCTGCTTCCTTTGCAGCACCTCTCTCTCTCAAAAGCTCAAAGCGGGACTGCATTTCTCAGTTTTATATATGCATTTTCCCCTCATATTTATTGCCTTCCTTTTCTTTTTTAATCACATAAGCATTATATTGCAGAAAGATTTAAAATATACACATGCATAGACAATTGTAGCAGACATTTTTTCTGCCTACCCAATAGTCATTCTTCCTTCATCCACGCTGGCAAAGCCCAGATTTTGTTCAGGCAGCCTCTCAAACCCGTTGATTGAATTAACGTATTCTCTGATTTCGCTGCTTGATTTATAAATTTCTGAAAAGTTACGTTAACAGGAGGGGTAGGAGAAACCCAGAAACCTAGCCTCAGGTCCTCAGTGAGACTGAGGGGCCCTGGAACTACAGAGGGTGACCACAGAGGGAGAGGTTTATATTAACAGTGTAGTGAGCCTGTCTTTGTACCTGTTGAGGGTTCCAGTTAAAAGGTGCTCATATAAGTTTCTAAAAGGGGACGGAAATGGATTCAGAGTGTGGCAGTTTTCAGAACTGGTGGACTGGCTGGCAACCCCAGCAGATGTCTCCTCTTATGAGGGGGTTGAGAGAACCTGGGAGACGATGTGCTATATGACAGACGCTGATGTCCTGCCTGAACCTAGGGGAGAAAAGGACTAAGCCAGAAGCAGAAAAGGTCTTTTTACAAGGGACTTTGTATGACTTGAAATGGTAGCCTTATCAACATGGTGAGATTGCCTATGTGGCTAGAGGTGTGGGGACTCTCAGGTTATAAGTCAAATATCACAAACATGTAACAGTCACAGACTTAAGAGCACCATGAACTGTGCACAAAATTCTTCAGAGACAAATAATGCACCCTTAGGCCCGATATACTGGACAAATATACTGCAAAACGGACATGATGCTTATATTCAGGAAGTAGATTCTTCTATTTCACTTGTTCTTTTCATTTTTTTGTTATAAAATATTTCATACCTCAAACAATTGAGTATGTAAGAGATAAAGAAGGCTAATAAACATATCAATCATCTAGCTTAAGAAACAGAACATTATCAATTCCTTTGAAGATCCACATATTTCTATTTAATTCCCTAGACTGAAAACTGAACACCACACCTTCACTTCCTATGTCATCGGCCAGGATCGCACCACACACCCAAATCTAAAAATGTTGTTTCAATGGTGACCGGACCATCAGGATTGCTTAGGCAAGAGATTTTCAAATTTTTGGCTTCTGGACTCCATTATACTCTTAAAAGTTATCTAGCAATAAAGACCATATTAGAAATGAAAACTGATAAAATTTAAAAATATTTAGTTTATTTTAAAATTACAATAATAAATCCAATGCATGTTAATACGCACACAAACACACACACAAACTTTTTAAGAAAAACATATTTACTAAAACAAAAAAATAATTAGTGAGAAGAGCCTCCCTGTTTCACATGTCTACAATGCTCTGTCTGGTTCAACAGAAGACAGCTGGATTCTCATATCTGCTTCTGCATTCCGGTCTGTTCCAATGTTGTTTTGGTTGAAGTATATGAAAAAAAAAATTGGCCTCACAGGGACATGTAGTTGGAAACGAGAGGCACATTTTAATAGCCTTTTCAGATAATTATGGATACTCTTTTTCTATATTACACCAAAACACATCAAATGAGAGCTTCTTATTGGTTAGTAGCCATGTAGAATCTAAAACTACATCAATGAACTTTTCAAACTGTTACAATAAAAACCCAGTGGGCCATTTTGCTATTGGAATAGAGTTTTTATCCATGCATCATGGTTTTGTAATTTCATGAAGGTCATTTGGAAAATGTCGGATCAC